AATTGATTTTGCCTTGTTTAAATTTGTCAATAACTTCAAGTGAGTCAGTTCTTTCAGCAAAACGAAAACAATTCACACATGGATGAATGTCAATTGTTTGGGTTTTTCCCCCACCTTTTCCCCTTTTTTTGTCACGCAATTCCCTTGAAAAGATGCCAACAACACCGATACACCCGGCTGGCCTAGAGCTAAAGCCCAGCCCACAGTTTCTTAAGATCCCGGATCCTCACCACTATTGTGCTAAAAAAAAAAATGTTCCAAGGTCTCGCTTTCAGTTGCGGATACCGACTGAATTATAAAAGTTCCGTGATAGTCCAGCGGTTCCTCTTCATAACCATTCACCAGCACTTTAAATATTAATTGTTGAATTAACAGTACGAGTACTGGATTTACCATTTAAAAAATCCCGGATTCATTATTTAAAATGCTGGATTCAACATTTTTAAGGAGTGGTCACTGACCGAACATTTTGTAAGTGCTGGAGTTAACACTTCCTTGTTTAGAGTGACTGCCTTTTGTTCTTCCTACTAGATTACAATACAAAAGCAATTGTGTTAGTATTGGTTTCAAACCATTCTGTGAAAAACAACTGAAAGGCCTGAAAGGCGCAGTTTTTCTTCTTTCGAAACACCACATTGTATAGTCAAGTATTTAAATGAATAATGCCAAGAATAATGATATTTCGACGTCGAATATGCAATTGCTTTTGCTGGCACGCTGTATGAACATCAAGTTGAATCTTGTCATTTTAACGACTCAGATTTGTATGTTCATTTCCTGAAAGGCTCTTCCCATGTTTCGAGCTCTGACAATAAGTGGAAACAGATATGAATGCACGAATGAAAGAATTCGATGTATTTGTTTTAAACCTTGGTGGTGTTTAAGTATGGAGTAAGCATCATGACCAAGCTGAACTCTCTCAAAAACAAGTTTAGAAATTATAAAATTAATACTTAGGCCATTACACTGTAAAAAACACCTTGTTAGATTTGACTAGAAAACAGTCTAACGCGTACTCAGCTGACTACAGCAAGCGTCAGCTGGGTGCAACTTGGACTGATTTAAAGTCAAATTTAACTAGAGTGTTTTTAGAGTGTACGGTGATTAAGTCCTGGAATTTACACGTACTATCACATAATTAATTTATGTGATTCCTTAATTTTATGCATGATGCCTCACCAGAATATTCAATTCTGTTATTGACCCACGTTTTAATTTTAGTGTTTTCCTTATTTATTTTATGTACATGTATTTGTTTGATATATATACATGTATGTATCTCTATTTTTGTTCAGGTACTTATAAATAATATGTTTGCTCGCATATCTTGTTAAATTCATTTATTGTTATCCATGTAAATTTAATCTGTTTCGTGTTTGCTTTATTTTGTTTAACCCATCCAATTTAATTACCTCCGCCAAGGAGGTTATGTTTTCATCGGCTTTGGTTGGTTTGTCTATGAGCAAGATAACTCAAAAAGTTATGGACGGATTTTCATGAAGAAAAAAACATGTTGGGGTGGTCCTTGGTACAAGTACAAATCGATTCGATTTGGGAAGTAATCCGGATCTGGGTTCCTTTTTTTAAGGATTCCTCACCATTTGTATGTGTGAATGTGCTATAGTATAGACCATGAAATGTGGACACCCCCCCCCCGAAAATAAAAATAAAAATAATAATAAGTATTATTCGGGAGACATCCCCATAATGTGCCCTAACCCAATATTCCCTTGTCCTTTTTCCACGAATATCGGTATACTAATGAGACCACACGAGCAACAAATAGAATCTACTGCGACTACAACATTTTGCCTCTAAAGGGGGGCTGTGACATTAGGGAGACATGAAAATGTCTCCCTAATGACCGATGTCTCCCATCGTGCGAAGAAAATACGATAACGTGTCTAAGTTAATGGTACCTTTACACGTATAATTATAATAGTAATAATTATAATAATGGACCCGTCCATTTTGGGTAGGCCTAGTTGTACTTCTATTAAAAGTACATGTTCTAGGTTCATTTGATAAGGCAACGTACATAGAACGTGGTCAGGATGAATCCAGACTGGGACTTCGAGTGCTGAAAACATGCAAAACAAAATCAGGCCAACTTACATGTACTCTTAAGCTGACGAAATTCTCCATAATTTTCATATAGGCAAAGAAGGTCCTATTTCATTCACCAGCCAAGTTTGAGGTCTCAATTCATTTTTAAAGGAAGCTTTCTTTAACATTTTGCAGGCTGAGAGTGAAGCCAAGTGATTTTAATTTGAAGTCTAATAGGACTAGACCAGTGGCGTCGCCAAGGGGGGGCCAGGGGGGCACGTGCCCCCCCTGGAAAACCTAGTGCCCCCCCGAGTGCCCCCCCATCTGAGATTTGGGTTGGTAAAAAAAATATATATATTTTGTTATATTCAACTCCCATCATCTGAGTTGGTTTTTCATAAGGACAAAGAAGCACAGTAATTCGTATTTTCTTCAAATGAGCTGCAAATGTGGCACCATTTTGCATCTAGCCCATCCTCCGTATGCGAAAATTTTCCAAAGGGGAGGGGGGCACCCCCTCCCCTTAGCCCCTCCCCCAGGACGGCGATCCGTATCCACCTAAGTGCCCCCCCCATCAAATGCTGGTGCCCCCCCCCCGTGCCCCCCCCCCCCCCAGACTGAAAAGTCTGGTGACGCCACTGGACTAGACTGCTACATGTCCAACTTTTTGAAAAGATTGACCCTTCAGTAGCTAGTCTGGTGGCATGACTACAGAGAATGTGTAAAAATAGAGCCGGGTACCAGACGTTTCTTTTGACACAGTTGACTGATGCAGATCGTTAATTGTTTTCTTTTCATATAATATTATAGTACCAGTCCATTTTCGTGTATTGCATGTTTGCAATAGAGGGTATATGCACAGCCGCGCTTTCCCACAGTAAACTCATTATGCGAGATTTGACCTTGCATGTTTGAAAATAGAGGGTATGCACAGCCGTTTTCCCACAGTAAACTCATTATGCGAGATTTGACCTTACTGAGGTCATGTTGTGCATCTCTCTATGGGACTGATGACATCATACGCATAAGGGCAGTTTTGGGACTCTGATAGTAGTCTCAGAGTCCCAAACTTTCGGACTCGGATGAATCCTACTCATAGTCATACCACGGGAGGAATAAGAACAGTTCCTCCATGCTATACTCATAGGACGTATTGCTAGTTTACACTTCGAAAAAACCCACATCTGACACATGAACATTCAAGGAATGGCCTATCGATGTTTTATGAATCCCGGGACATACTGTTATTTCGTTTTACCGTTTTGGACTCCTCAAAAACAAAAACAGTAAACGAACCATTGATCGTTTTGTCGGCAAACGGTATTAAGATAAATACAGTTATTCCGTTTTATCAGTTTCATAAATTTCATTACAGCATAACGATCAATGATTTTTGTTTTACAGATTTACACAAATAACTTTGTAAAACAGCAAAACGGTCAGTATTTAATACAGATTGTTTTTTTGTGTACTTCAGTGTCATAGTTAACAGTCCGTTGTGCATTTTGTGGCGGTACTTATGGTGGACAAGGGGGTGGAAGGGGACCATGCCGTGCACGAAGAAGTGTTACCTCGGCATAATTAATGCGTGGTGTGATTCCTGGCGTGACCCTGACCCCCATCTACTGCGATTCAGTTAGTGGGGCTTGAAGAGTTGCAAGTAAAAATGGCGCTGGAAAATTTCAAGGGGAACATTTCACAATGGATACAGGATGGTAAGACGTATGAAGAAGTTGCAGATATGTTGAAGGAAATTGGAGTCCAGCGCGGCTCTTCAATAGCTAATATTCTCAAATTCTGTCGTGTGAACTAGAACGACATAAATATAAGGAGGGCAATTTCACAGGCAGTGACCGTCCCAAGGACACATTAACATTCCAAGGTGCATTGCTATAATTGCCAACTTAAACCTGAATAAAAAAATGGTCGACAAGACTATTGACCATTTTGACATTGTCATGTTTTTGTAAAACAACACTCTAAAAATAAAGCAACTAACCGTTTATCGCTTTTTACAATTTACAAAAACAATAAAAAAGGTCATTGTTTTTGTGACTTAATACCGTTTGACCGTTTTACAAAACTGTAAAACGACAAAACGGTCAATATGGCTCGTTTGCTGTTTTTGTTTTTGAGGAAATCCAAAACAGTAAAACGAAATAACGGTATGTCCCGGGATTTGTATGACCATGTCACACGTACAGATGGAATTCAAGCTACACATGCACACGGCACACTGTACACAGCTAGCTCTAGGGGTGCAACCCTGCCAAACAAAAAATCCCATAGACACTAGTGCTAAATGCGCATACTTTAAAATTCTTTTAAAAATACTCAGAACTCTCACAGGTATTCAAGCTGCACAGAAAGATGATGATCAATGTGTCATCTTTCAATTTCCTTTCATTTTTTGGTGGGCTGACCATTGACTTTTCAAGACATTCTCACCCAAAGAAGACGACCCCTATTTTCCCCAAAGCGGAAACGTATCCATCTTGAAAAACGATCCCGCCATGACATGGCAAAATATCGCCACTTTCGAGCCCAACAGCATCCAAAATGCTCAGAATTGGAAGCCCCAAGTCCGGGCCAGAGGTTCATTACCATATCTCTTCAATTCCCCAAATTTTATGGCTCTCAAAACTCTCTAATAAAGAATATTTTGAGGGTATAACTTTTATTCATGAGCTCGGCGGACGGATTTTTGGCCTACAGGCGTGCACCCCTAGACCGCCACCACTCCCGTCCCACACATGCATTTATTTCACCATGGAGGTAGAATTCCATGATTTCACGGATAGCCTGGACCTAACGTGTACGCACTCACGTACAACACCCGTGCGGTGCCGCGCCTCGAGACTGCATTAATGGCTGAGACCTTCGTGACAATGTTGAATTTTTGGCTAATAATGGAGTGCGGAATAATCTACAAAACCCGTGACAATTTGACCCACCTGGTGCAGACATTTTGTCCCTTTCCTAGATCGGTCACGGTGGTCGTATCACAACTCCAGAAGGTGGTTCAATATGCGAACGAAATGTCACTTTCTCCTGCGAATACTTGCTGTACGTGGTGTGTGTTGTGTGTGTGTGTGTGTCGAATGCTGCGCTTAACTTATTAATGACGTGACGCGTATTATCTTCCCATGGCCCGCGGCACCGGCACCGCACAGTTTGTTTGGGTGTGGTATATATGGAACGCCAAAGAGGCATTTAATGTGATCATCGAATCGGTGATACACTTTTGCAATCGGTGATGCATATTCACGATCGGTGATGGACTTTCGCGATCGGTGATGGACTTTTACTGGTGATGCATATTCACGATCGGTGATGGACTTTCGCGATCGGTGATGGACTTTTACTGGTGATGCATATTCACGATCGGTGATGGACTTTCGCGATCGGTGATGGACTTTTACTGGTGATGCATATTCACGATCGGTGATGGACTTTCGCAATCGGTGATGGACTTTCACTGGTGATGCATATTCACGATCGGTGATGGACTTTCGCGATCGGTGATGGACTTTCACTGGTGATGCATATTCACGATCGGTGATGGACTTACGCGATCGGTGATGGACTTTTACTGGTGATGCATATTCACGATCGGTGATGGACTTTCGCGATCGGTGATGGACTTTTACTGGTGATGCTTATTCACGATCGGTGATGGACTTTCGCGATCGGTGATGGACTTTTACTGGTGATGCATATTCACGATCGGTGATGGACTTTAGCGATCGGTGATGGACTTTTACTGGTGATGCATATTAACGATCGGTGATGGACTTTCGCGATCGGTGATGGACTTTTACTGGTGATGCATATTCACGATCGGTGATGGACTTTAGCGATCGGTGATGGACTTTTACTGGTGATGCATATTCACGATCGGTGATGGACTTTCGCAATCGGTGATGGACTTTTACTGGTGATGCATATTCACGATCGGTGATGGACTTTAGCGATCGGTGATGGACTTTTACTGGTGATGCTTATTCACGATCGGTGATGGACTTTCGCAATCGGTGATGGACTTTTACTGGTGATGCATATTAACGATCGGTGATGGACTTTCGCAATCGGTGATGGACTTTTACTGGTGATGCATATTCACGATCGGTGATGGACTTTCGCAATCGGTGATGGACTTTTACTGGTGATGGACTTTCGCGATCGGTGATCAACTTTGCAATCGGTGATGGACTTTTGCAATCGGTGATGGACTTTTGCGAACGATGATCAACGACCCATCACCGATTGCAAAATCCATCATCGATCGCCAAAGTGCATCAGTTATTGAACTTGCATGCCGCTGTGGCTTAGGGTTTCTCGTGTTGCCCCTGACGGTGATATTTGTTTACGGTGTTTTTGTGTTTGAAAGTGTCTTTCTCATATGTGAACTGCATTTTTTTTTTAAATTAAAGGGAATATACAACATTTGCAAACATCGAAAAATAAAACTACCAAGTTTTTGCGAAATACCTTAACAGGATGTTGGTAAATGACAGTCTAAAGCATCCTGTAAAATTATGGCACCTGGTATACTGTCATTTTCAAGAAAAGTGGTATTTTTGTATCAATTTCCAACGCTGATCGGCCGATCAGCGTTGGAAACAACTGGCTTTTTTTCAAATACTGGCCCCAATTGACCATTACACTTGTTTGCAATCGATTACAAACCTATGAACGGGTACGAGCCAGCTAGACTGGTTCCCTGACCTTACAATTCCCCAATGTATGTAAACTGCTCTGTTTCTTCTTATATGGAGTCAGGGAACCAGACTACAGGAAAATGATTGTTTTTCTTGGTTTTTATAGCATTTTCGAACCCAAAACCTCAAAAAAGTCAGTGTAACTATATTTGCTTTATATTTCCAACCCCCCTATTCCATCCATTTCTGAAAATTACAGCAAAAGCAAATGATGTATATTCCCTTTAATGTGCGTAAAATGTTTGTTGTTGGTGTATGCCGCTGTGGCTTTGAGCTTTGGTGCTGCCCATATTCTAACCGGTAAATGCCCAATCGATGGTATCCGGAATAAAAACACTCCTCTGTGGATGTGGCATAAACACAGTGATTTGTTATTATCCAATAAATGGTAAAACAATTTTTGCACCTGATGATTGATGGGTGGGCCATCGGAGACAGCATATGGCGGGGTTATTGGGGGGCCTGACCAGGCATCCAGGGGCCACAGGAATGCAATCACATCATCATCATCATCATCATAAATCCATCTAATAGCCAATCTTGGTATAGATATGTGGGGCCCTCTGGTCACTTAAGCACACTTAAGCGAGCACATGATGGACAGTACACAGAGGAACTTTCCTTGCAAATGTTTTTCCACCACCACCCCTTACATCCGCCAGTTATAGTGCTCCAAGGTTTCAAGAGACTATACAAATTACAAGGATTAAAATGTTCGCAATGTTTAGGATACAGACAGCCTGCTCCTCATATTTATGGGGCAAATGGAACCATTCAATCCATTGTTTTTCTATTTTGTTAGGCTAATTTGATACTTGCCGTAGCGATCTCAGTGTGTCACGAGGCTATGATGTTTTCCTGACTGAATGTACATCTGTGGGAAGCTATTTTTTTGTTATTCAAGTTTAATTTGCATTTGTTGTCATTTATTGCCACATATATCTCATTTTCATATAGGCCTACATGTATTTCATTTATTGTCAAGCATATTGTGTATGCCGTGGCTTTGAGTTTCTTGTGTTGCCCACTACTGGTCGGGCCTGGTGTTGCCCCTAAATTGTGTTAATACGGTTATATGTTTTATAATATGTCCGTTCTCACTTATGAACTCCATTTTTTGTAATGTCCGTGAAATGTTTGCAGTTAGTGTATGCCGCTGTGGATTTGGGCCTTTGGTGTTGCCCATATTAACATAACCATAACAATTAACAATTCAAACGGTATATGCCATATCACAGGTATCCGGAATAAAACACTCCTCTGTGAATGTGGCATGAACAGAACGGGAGACACTTTAGCGTCACACATTTAGAGGCAAAATATTATCGTCGCAAATAGACTCGATTGCTCGTGGTCGAATTAGTAAAAATTACCCGGCGAATTAAGGTAAAATTGGAGTTACGGGTCATTAAATTTGGGGGAAAAATGTGTGCACTAGTTTATGGGAATGTTCCCCAAATAGCCAATTATGGGTTATTATAAGTTATTATTTTTTATCAATATTATTATTAACATTATTATTATTTGGGTTGATTATCACCATCAAGCAGCTCAGACGCTGAATTGCACAGTGATTTACAGTAAAAATTAAAATAAATTAAAAATAAACACATTTCACGAGAAATCGAAACACATACAAAATGCACAACAATCCATTATTCTCAAAAACATATACACTCGGATAATAGCAATTAAAATTGTATACATTTGAAAATCCTATGTTGAACTATTGATGAGTCTGGGCTATTTCGAAATCTCTTGGATGAACTGGGATACTCCTTGAGTGTTCTACTCGATCTAAGATTCATAGTGTGCCAACTTTTTGATTGAGGAAACCACTCATTAAATTTGCCTGATTTAAAAGCACCTAGAGCAAAGTTTGTACACATAGTAGTTCTTCTATCATAAAGGTGATCCAGAGATAGAGTAATACGGCAAACTCTTTTGGATCGACTAAATTAGATTGGTCTGTTTGAGTGTAATGCTTGAGTGCCAAACCGGTGTCACGGTCTCACTTCTCCGGCGTGCTAGCTTCTCCGGGTGGATTTGGCGGATAATTGAGCACGTTATAGTGCACGTTACATGAGCACGATTCATGCTCATGTGTCCACTGTGCTTACTTTTCCTAGGGCTGTTGAAGTCTACCAAGCCCATTAATAACACAGTGAAGGACACCTAAGAATGTGTTATGTAACACTTCCTGTGGGTCAAGTCATTCCATGGTCTTGCAAGCATTCTGATTGGTGTTCCCAGCGTCATGCATGTGTGTGTGTTCATGGAGGAATAATTAAGAACGAACTCCTTGGTCCGTGTTCCTTGCTCGTTCGTGGTCCATTTTGTCTTTATTATTGCAACCATGGCTTAAAATAAATGTGCATTTCAAGTCTTTTTTGTTATTGGGAGTTAATAGTGCGTGCCACGAAAATTCTGGATTCGACTGATACCCTGTAACCATTCATACAAATAAGATCTTACGTGCACAAGTACAACCCCGAGGAACTCGGCACACTAATACAGTGACGAAAATGTACACTACTGCGCAATTTTGTGCAAGTTCTTAGAGTAAAACCAGTTTCTTTCAGTTTCCTGAACATGAATAATTTTCTATTAGCTTTACCAATCATCTCAGCAATGTGTTTCTCATGTCCTTAAATTTGAGTCCGAGTATTTTTTTACCAATACGTGATAAAAGGTTTTTGCATAATATGATGATTGATGTGTGGGTCATTGGAGACAGCATATATGGCGGGGTTATTGAGGGGTCTCAGCAGGCATCCAGGGGGCACAGGAATGCAATCACATCATCATCATCATCATCATCATAAATCCATCTAATAGCCAATCTTGGTATAGATATGTGGGGCCTCTGGTCACTTAAGCACACTTAAAGGGAATATACATCATTTGCCTTTGCTGTAATTTTCAGAAACGAATGGAATTGCAGGGGTTGGAAATATATAGCAAATGTAGTTACACTGACTTTTTTGAGGTTTTGGGTTCGAAAATGCTATAAAAACTAAGAAAAACAATCATTTTCCTGTAGTCTGGTTCCCTGACTCAATATAAGAAGAAACAGAGCAGTTAACATACATTGGGGAATTGTAAGGTCAGGGAACCAGTCTAGCTGGCTTGTACCCGTTCATAGGTGTGTAATCGATTGCAAACAAGTGCGATGGTCAATTGGGGCCAGTATTTGAAAAAAGCCAGTTTTTTCCAACGCTGGTCGGCCGACCAGCGTTGGAAATTGATACAAAAATACCACTTTTCTTGAAAATGACAGTATCATACCAGGTGCCATGATTTTACAGGATGCTTTACACTGTCATTCACTAACAGTCCAGCAAGGTATTTCAAAATTATTTGGTAGTTTTATTTTTTGATGTTTGCAAATGTT